CCCACTTCAGTTATTATTAGAGAAGGACCTTCTTTGTTTTAGCGAAAGCAGCTTGATTTTGTGAGTTAGGAGCTAATTCAAGAAATGCTTAGCTGCTCTATATGGAAAAGCAAGTAGATTGTGCTTCACTCTGGTGGGGAGTGTAGGGGAGGAGGGAGGAATGGCAGTGTGTGGTGATGAAGCCATCATAAGACAGGACTCATCTCTGCCAACATTGTCTGGCAGTAACAAACATCCTTTTGTTTAAGGGTAATAGACCTCCAATTGTTCATTGCCAGGTGGTTGAAATCATGACTTGTTTTCAATCCAGTAAGTAGTTGGTAGTTTGAACAAGAACATACTAATTATATAGCAAGTTGATTTTCTTCTTCAATTGTCCCTTTAAACCCTACATAGTAAAAGAGGGAAGAGGAGAAAGGAGGGCTGTAAATCACTAAGGATATTTAAAAAATACTTAAGGAATAATAATTTATGTTTATCTAAAATTACCTATAATATATATATGTATGTGTATACATAGTTATATAATTTAAATTACTCTCTTCCACAAGCCATAGGCTATCTAACAATACCCCAAGTACCAGGTTTGAGGAGCCTCTTCTTGAGCTGTTGCTTAAGGGAGTCCAAGAGATCCACAAACCAATATAAGCTAATGTGGTTGCCCTTGGTTGCCTCTCAGAATTTTAAGATAAGAGCCTATTGCTCAAGATGCCACATACTTCAGACACAGGACTTATCCTTATACCCATGGTTAAGTGTAGCTCGCACCCCTTGTCAAAGAAGCTTCTTTTGAAGTAGATGGAGACTACTACAGAAAGCCACAGATGGTCAAAATGCAGAGAAGTAACTGTGGGGTCCCCCCATCCCAACTGATACATCTGCAAAGTAGCACCTACACTTAAGGCTCAGGGAAAATTGTTATATAATGGGCAGAAAGGCTGTAAGAACCAGAGGCCCTGGAAGTCAGCTGTGCGATTATGTCCCCTAGACATAACAGGGACAATGCATCCATAAACTTTCACCAATGTAGTTGCTTAATCAAGAATGACATAATAATCATCCTAATTAATATGCCAGTGCAGATAGGGAAATTCCACATGGTCCCACCCCTGCATGAACACCTACTTGTGGGCAATGGCTACTGAGAGAGGGAGAATCAATTTTCTCTGGAGATGAATTCCTACATAAACTTAATTCCAAGTAGTGAGCTTTGGACACATGTGCATATGAACAAAGGTAAATAGACCCTGTACATTATATATATTTACATATATGTAAAGAAGAGTTTTTTGTTTTTATTTTTTCTTTCTTATTTTGTTTTGTTTTTTTGAGACAGGTTTCTCTGTATTGTTTTGTCCTGGAACTAGCTCTGTAGACCTCGAACTCACAGAGATCTGCCTGCCTTTTCCTCCTCAGTGCTAGGATTAAAGGCATGAGCCACCATTGCCCAGCTTGAGTGCCTGTGTTTTACTGTTAAACCATGATCTGCCTGCCTCACAATTCACTTGCTGTTGGAAATCTTCTATCTTGAAGCTGTGGCTAACATTGTTTTAAGCAATGTATCCTGGAAAGGCAGAGCTTGATAAGATTTGTACCCAGTTCCTTAGGAGCTCGAAACAAAGTTGTCATCCTGTGAACTTCAAGGCTCTCTAGAGAACAGAACAAGCAAAAGAAACATTTTCCTTGGGTCTGAAATCTTCAATTGGTCACAAAGACACAATGACATTTTTTTTTTTATAAAAAAAAACATGGTTATTTATTTATCTATTTAGTGTCAGGGTCTCATTGGCATCCAGGCTATTTGCTAATTCATGGCTGTTTTCTTGCCTCAGTTTCCCGACTGCTGACATTGCAGGCATATACTATTAAATGTTTTCCCACCACAATTCTGATGAAAAGCATTACAGGTGAAGAACATTCTTTTTCTGTGTGTTTGTTTGGAGATAAAGTTCCCACCTTGTAGTTCAGGCTGTCTTCAAACTCACCATTACAGTCCATGCTGGCCTCTACCTTGACAGCGATTCTCCTGCCGTAGCCTCCCAAATACTGGGATTACAGATGTGAACCACCACATTTGACATGGGTACATTCTTAAGCACACAATGGTTCATGCTAACTCTCACAGTATAAGTGCCACCTCAAGCTAGGTTGGAATGGTATGTTGAGGACTACAAACTGAAAAACACTTGAGGAACTCTGACTTAGATGGGTCCCTGGGCCTGTGATTTCCTCTCTGCAGTAAACAATCTTGGGACGGATCTCTTTTAGGTATAAAGACCAGAAAGTGGACTTGTTGGCCTGAGACTGCTAGTTGGGGCTACAATTAACTCAAACAAGCTCTTTGAGGTAATCCTTAGCTTCTACTGGGTCCTACCTGTACCCATTTCTTTTAGTAACAGCCCTAGGATTGGCCTCCTAATACAAGTACATGTTTGTTCTGTCATTCCTTCACAAATGTATTGTTCTTTGTCTAAGAAAGGATACAAGCTTCCTATTGCTTTATTTTTATTTTGTATGAGTGATTGTCAGTTTAAGTATGTGCTATATGGTTTGGGTGTCCACAGAGCCAGGTGATAGCATGAGATCCCTGGAGCTGGAATTACATCACGTTGTGAAGGGTCCACTTCTATGCTGGGCACTGAACTCAGGTAATTGGGAAGAATGGTAAGTGCTCTTAACTGCTGAGTTACCTCTGTCAGTTAAAAACAACAACCACAAAACAAAAACCAACCCAAGCCTATTTATCTATTTACTTAATGTTCGGGTGTGCTTTGTAACATGCATGAATGAGTGTGCCATATGCATGCCTGTGATCGTGGAGGTCAGAGGAGAGCATCAGATCCCCTGTGACAGTTGTGAGCTGCCATGCTGAGGGTGGGATTGAACCCTGTCCTCTGGATGAGCAGCCAGTGCTAAGGCCTCCTGCTTCAGTGCTGAAGACAGGTGTCAAGCAAGTAGTCTGTGGGTTACCAAGAAATCAACGCAAACAAAGCTGATTTACTTGTTAGTGTTGGGGGCCAAACACGCCAGGTGAGCACTGTAATTGAGCTACATCCCCAGTCCAGAATTCGTTTTTTTTTTTTTTTTTTTTTGTCATCTCCCGACATACCTGTAATAAATGCAAACCTTTACCATCTTTCATCTGTTTTCAATATTCTATCACAAAGGGATTGTTGGGAGTACATATGTCATAATAGAAGTATAATCTAGAAAAAGACCCAAAACAGTCGAACTGTTTTGTAGACCAAGTTTTTGTGTGGCCCAAGCACCTCCACATGGGATTTTTTTTGGTTTATTGCCTTTAAGCTTTGATCTTTGTTTGAATCTCTTAATTAGTTTAAGTCTCTGGTCTCTCTTTTCCAGGCCAGTACTACCATCTATAGAGTGCATGTCATGATCCATAAACCCGAATGTGTCATGCTGGTCCCTGTGGAGCTGCACTGTCTCTAAGGCTCCTCAACCTCTCTGCCCATCCCCCATGTTCGGTTACAGACATCTTTGGCAGACTCGAGAAGGCATATTTGTAGCATTTTCTTCCTTCTCCCTCCCTCCCTCTTTTCCATCCTGCGTCTGAGATAAGGTCTGGCTGTGTATCTTAGGTTGGCTTGGAAGTAGCTATGCAGCCCACACTGGCCTTTAACCGGGACTCTTCCTGCCACAATCATCTCTGACCTTCTTAGATAATGGAAGTTTCTTCCTTCCGTGCATCTGTCTGATTTCTGTGCACCTCTGTTTTGGGGCTCTCCTACTTTTTCTTTCTGCTTCTGTCACGTGTTAGAGCTTTTGGAGAAACGACAGCCAGTCAGGGCTGCTTCTGCCTTCTTGCAGTAGGGCAGCACGGAGGTGAAAACAGGTGGCATACATTTCAGCTCAAAACATCACCAGTCATCAGTACTCGGCCGCATTAATTCTAGGAGCGATTACACGTTTAAATGATTTTTCATTCTTTAAAAAATCTCTGTGTGTGTTGACCTGCCTGCATGTGTATGCACCAAATGCACGCGCGTTGCCAGCCGAGTGAGTGGGCAGAAGGCTGCATTGGTTTCCCAGGAACTGGAGTTACTGAAGGCTATGAGCTGCCTTGTGGGTACTGGGACGCCAACCCCCCAGTCCCAGCAAGTGTTCTTCATAGTTGGGCCACCTCCCCAGGCCACCACTACACTTTCTCAAAGGAAAAAAGTAATAAGTGTAAGTGTAGTGCATGTATTGCTATGAAAGATGTCACAGCATACCATTTCGGAGAAGTTAAAAAGCCATCAGGCTGACTTCAATGTTTAAAGCGCATCTGTAAATCTGAAACGCATAAAGTTATCTGTGGGTGTCCCAGGGACCCACAGTTGCCAACTTCTTAGGTAGCTTAATTGAAGACGGCTAAGATGTCTCAGGTCTCCACTAATCTGTTTTAATGGTTGTTTTTTTTTTTTTTTGTAATTTACGGGATCTAAGTCTAAGCCTCGAATGTTCTGGCAGCGCCCGATGCGCGGAGCCCTGAGTCCCTAACACAGGAGTGCGGCTTTTAGGTGCACTTGAGACAGGAGTTGGGGGCCAGGGAGCGTGTCTCGCCTGTGGAATGGAGTTTCTGCGTGGAAAGTGAAAACGACTACTGTGTTTTGCGGTCCCCCGTGTGAGAGGGGCGACACAGGAAAGCCAAAGACGGCCAGTGGGGGGACACGGTGCACACGGTGTCTTGAGCAGGTAACCGCCTGCAGGGCAAGGGCGGGGCCGGGACAGCGGGACCGGAAGCCTCAGAGCGGCGGGCGGTGGAGTCTCGGGCCGCGGCGAGGAACCTGTGAGGTAACAATGGGAAGCTCGGCGCGGCCAGCTGCAGCGCCAGCCCGCGCGGGCGTGGTCGCAGTAATAAGCAGTCCGGCCGAGCCGCCTCCAGGAGCCTCGGGCCGCCCGCGCGTCCCCGGCCGCGAGGCCCCGCCCTCGCGAGGCCCCGGCGCCACCCCGCCCCGCTCCGTCCCGGCCGAGGCGCGACCCCGGTCCCCGAGGCGCGTCGGACCCGGCGTCCCGGCTCTGAAGCGCTTCCGCGCCGCCCGCGCAGTGCGCAGGCGCGTCGCCCGCGGCCGTTGACTTTCAAAGGCCGCCCGCGCACTCTCATTGGCGGAGGCGGCGCGGTTGAAAGTCGCCCCGAGGCGGCTGTGGCGCCGCGAGGCTCCGCCCCTCCCGGGCACCTGAAGACTCGGGCGAGCGGCGTGCAGTGTCCGCCCCTGCCCGCCCGGGAGCCTCCGCCGTCTGCGTCGTCGCCTGCCTCGCTCGCGGTGAGTACGCGCGCTCCGGTCGGCCCCGAGGAGGGGGCTCCGAGCCCGGCTGCCCGGCTGCGTCCGCCTGGGGCTGGAGCAGCGGGAGGCGGACTGGGCTCCTGCGGGCGTGCTCTGGCCCCACGCGCGCGGGTGGAGCTGCGGCGTGGAGCTGCAGGCGGGCCATTAGCGGCCGGTGTGTGAGCCGAGAGGGCCCCCGAAGCACCCGGGGGCGGGGCGGTTGGGGCCGGGATATCTGCCATCTTGAGCTACTTCTTTGTTTGGAGTTCACGTCGAACTTATGCCCATTTTACAGATGCGAACCTCCATAGGTAAAAGTGAGCGAGAGTCCCACAGCATTCCAGGGACAGAACTGGGGCGCGCGGGCAGGCGTGTCGATGGGAATAATTTAGGTCAATAGTTAGGTGAAATCGATGCGCGTGGATGTTTCTCGTAGTCTTGCCGAGCTGAAACAACCCAAACTTTGTAGCCATAGCTGGGCGCGGGAGACAGCCTGATCTTTTTTTGTGAGGGCAAAAAAGTCCAGGTCCTCAGGGAGCAGCGACACAGGCGGGATTATGAGTGCTCAGTTCCCATCATTGTGTTGGTTAAAATTGTCCAGACTCACGGATGCTTTACGTTGTAAAAAGACCTTTGTGTGTCAACATTTTTGAGATTTTTCAAGATGAAAGTGAGATATACTGCGGGCTATAGTGGCTGTTTATGTCGCTACCTTTCTGAAAAACAACAAAACACCCAACCAACCATCGAGCTATAGGGTAGGTAGATGAGCCTCAGTTAAGAGAACAACCATCCATCCTTATGTAATTTTCTTCTCCTTTTTTTTCCTTTACAAAATCTGAAATACTTAATTGTTTTAATTTTAGAATAACAAAAGAACTTGGAAAAGTTGGAGAAGATAAAGTATATTCAGTATCCAGATCAGGAAATCAACAAACCAGGTAAGTGCTGGGAAGTTAACTGTATATATGAAGAAAACTCAGTACATTTTTACAGTGTGTGATCTGGGCTATGATGTAAAATTTAAAATATCTTGAAAAAAGATGTATATTGGTGATGTATAAAATTCTAGCCATTTCATGGAGGAAGTGTAATGTAAAAAAGTAAAAAAAAAAAAAAACTCATTGACTTAAAAGATTTTCACCTTTGTTGTTGTTTTGGGTTTTTTTTTTTTTTTTTGTTTTGTTTTTTTCCAAGGCAGAGTTTCTTGGTGTGTAACCCTGGCTGTTCTGAAATTTTCACTGTAGACCAGGCTGGCCTAGAACTCAGAGATCCACCGGCTTCTACCTCCTGGAGTGCTGGGTTTAAAAGTATGTGCCACCACTGCCAAGCTAAAAGATGTTTTTTCTTTTCTTGGTTTTTGGTGTTTTGAGACAAAGTTTCCCAGTGTAACAGCTCTATGGCTGTTCTGGAACTCACTTTGTACACCAGGCTGCCCTGGAATTCACTGAGAATTGCCTGACTCTGCTGGGATTAAAGGCTAGTACTGCCACTGCCACCTATTTTATGTAATAGAAATTTTGTAAGAATGTCTGCAAAACTGAAGGCATGGACACACAAGGTATTATTTTATACATTTGCAGACAGCATTTGTTATTCAAGTTGCTTTTATTCAAGTTCTTTTCTGCTCAACACTAAATTGACCTACATCCATTTCTAGTTGCCCAAGGTACTGAATTTAGGCTGGTAAAGTAAAAGTTTGACTTTAGGTAATGTATATATTGACATTGCCTTTCACCATTATGTTGCTGAATGTTTTCCATCAAGTACATTTTCACTTTGAAAAAAATTTATTTATTTTTGTTATTCAAGACAGGGTTTCTTTGTGTAGCCTTGGCTGTCCTAGAATTACCTCTGTAGATCAGGCTGGCCTCAAACTCAGAGAGAGTCTTGCCTGCTTCTGTTTCCCAAGTGCTGGGTTTAAAGGTGTATGCCCGGTTAATTGCAGCAGTTCTTAAGTCTAATTTCATGACTATTTTTTTTTTGTCAGTTAGGGCCATGAAACTGTGAGGCTCTGGCTGGCTGGCTGGCTGGCTTGCTTGCTTGCTTGCTTCCTTCCTTCCAAATATTTTATTTTACTTGATGAGCTTTGGTGTTTTGCCTGCATGTATGTCTGTGTGAAGGTGTCAGATTGCCCGAATGGTTATGAGCTGCTATGTAGCTGCTATGTGGGTGCTGGGAATTGAGTCTGGGTTCTCTAGAAGAGCTGGCTTTCTTTTAATGTACTCTGTATTCATTTTTTACTAATATAGTGCTTGGGATTTTATAAAGTATCCATTTTTGGAAATTAGTCTATTTTTAGTGTCATCTCTGCAGAGTTTTAAGATCATACTATATTGTCTTGAAATTTGCATACTTAATTTGTATTCTGGGGTATATGAACAAATTCATGACTATATGAAAGAACTTACAGAAGCTTGTCCTGATTCCATCCCCCTATCCAAAATAGTACTTAACTTGTAAAATTTCCCATAGAGTTTGCTTTATTTTCCTGGGTCAGTTGTAGGCATTTGTACTGATTTGTTCAGTAACTTGAATACTTCATTTGTGTAGATTGTGAGATATATTAGTGTGGACCTATGTAAGATAATCTGTACAACTTTGGATTTTTTCCTGTTTTTTTGTTCCTTTTCTATATATTTTCCCTCTTCTCAATGCATTCAGTATTCCTTTTCTCTCAATTAGGATAGTGTGTTAATGGATTGCTTCATAGTGATTTTATTCCCAATTCATGAATGTAAAGTGTCACATGTCATGCTCATGTGAAGCTGCTACTGCTGCAGTTGTGAACTCGTGGGCCTCAACATGTTTGTTTACTGGTTTCCATTCCTTGTTCAACATTAGTTTAAGTGTCCTAGTTTCTTACCAAACCAAATAGACCTTGGAATGTTTACAGCATTAGGTAGGGAGAATTCTTTGAGGGATAGAGAAGATGAATACTTGAAATAGGTTATATTACTTATGCATTTTGTATGGCAGAAGGGAATGACTATGTCTAATTCATATTCAAGAGGAGAGGATTTAGGAAACTACCCAAGGGCCTAGAAGTTATTGGTAGCCATCCTATAGGAATTACCAACACATATAGCTAATAACTTATTTACTTAACTCTAATAAGTTTCTTTAAATTTTCTCCATTTATTTTATTCTGCTTTTCGTGATTTTTCTTTTGAACAGGTTCTGGCTCTATTTCCCAGGCTGGCTTAGGAAATGGTTCTTAGTGATGCTCAAAACATCCTCCTATCTGCCTCTGGAGCAACTGGGATGATACATGGCATGTCCCACTGTGCTCAGTTACAATTTTTTTAGAGGAATCTTTATTATATTCTTTCTTTTTTACTTGATAATACCTTCATTGTTTTTTAATGATAGAGTTTTGCTTATTGTTAATGTGAATAAATCACACAGGCACAGACTTTCCTTCTAGAGTGTATAGACATTTTGTAATACTGTCTTACAGCAGCATTCCTTGTTGCTTTGTATGCATTCTGGCTGTCTGTTTTTGTATAACAAACATTTGAAAGCTTGGCTAGCTATCTCCAAGAATGCGTTTTTTACTAAAATGTCTGGCATCTTAGTGCTGTTTTTAAAAAGCCAGTTAGCCTAGATGTCTTGCATAGCAGCTAGTTGCTAGGTATGATTTGAGTGAAAAATGGGTTTAGGTGTTTGAAATGAACACTTTGTTCCCAGTTGGTGGCACTGTTGGAGAGATTATGCAGCCTTGCTGGAGGGTTTGTTTTGAGAGTTGAAAGCCTTGCCTCACTTTCAGTTGTCTGTCCCATGCCTGCTGTTAAAGATGTGAATCTCTCAGTTTCCCACTCCAGTTGTCTTGGACTCTAAGCCTCTGGAACTGTAAGCCAGAATAAACTCTGTTCTGTAAGTTGCCTTGGTCATGGTGTTTTATAACAACAGAAAAGGAGCTAATACACATGGTTCCTCCTACCCCCTCAAGATAGGGTTTCTCTGTCTAGCTCTCACTGTCCTGGAGCTCACTCTATATACCAGGCTGGCCTCAAACTCACAGAGATGCCTGCCTCTGTCTTCCTAGTGCTGGGATTAAAGGTGTGTGACACTATTGCCCAGCTTGATCTACTTGGCTTCTTAAGGCTTATACCCAGAACTTAAAGCATTGCTTGTGGCAAAGCAGTCATTTGACCTATACAACTTTTTCTGGGGGTGGGGGTAGTAGATAGACTCATCTCTTTATAAAAGCATTAGCAGCTAGGTTGCATGACAGAACAGCATGTATAGGGGGTAACTGTGGTCTTCAGGGGCATTTTTTTTTTTTTTTTTTGACAGGTTCTCATTTGTATAGTCCAGGCGGGCCTCAAACTTTAAATCCTGCCATCTCCCACTGCTGATGGTTTCTTGGTTTGCATTGTGCATTTCTGTCTGGGTTGATTGTTTTTAATAGTTTATTATATGCTAAATGAAATAACATTAAAATCAGTGATAATTTCTTCTCTTCCTTATTCTTGTTCTTTAAAACCTATCACATTTTCTAACATTCTTAGTTTTCACTAGTTTCTTTCTTGTTTTTTTCTTCTTCTTTTTTGTTTTTGATGTGGGTTCTTACTCCATAGCTCTGGTTGTCTGGAACTCACTGTGTGGTCCAGGCTGGCCTTGAACTCAACAGAGGTTCCTGATGCTTCCCCGAGTTCTTGGGATGAAAGGCATGCAACTCTATATCCAGCTTCACTTTAATGTATTTGCATTTCCCCCATGTTTTTAGACTGACAGGATGGCTTAGTTACTGAGTGCTTGTGATATAAGCTGGTGAGCAGAGTTTAATTATTGGAAGTCATGGAGGAAGGCTAGACAAATGTCCTGACAGCATGCTCTCTGAGATGCCCATATGCACATACCTACATCTAACACATTCAAAATAGTGAAGATTTGACATTTTTATTAAATGGCTTTTTGGAGGCTGGGGGTTCTTTGAGACAGGGTTTCTCTGTAGCCTTGGCTGTATTGGAATCACTCTGTAGACCAGGCTGGCCTCAAACTCAGAGATTCTCTGCCTCTGCACCGAGTTGTGAGATTAAAGGCAGGTGCCACCACACCCAGCTTTGGCTTTTTTTTAAATAAGAAAATTTTGAGTTCTTTTTATCCCCTCTCCCAGTCAGAATACTGGTAAATCAGTATATCAATATTTGGTATTTCTTCATGGTAGAGTCCAGTGTTGCCTTTGATACTTTGTTTGGAAACTTCTTACAACTTAAAAGTTTAGCTATTAGGGTCATTAAATGGATTCTTAGAGATAGTCACTTTCCCCCATCCCCAAAATCTTTTTGAGTGTTTTATGTATGTATGATGTTCTCTCCTCCCAGGGCATGTGTTGGGGGTCAGAGGACAGCCTCCTTCTAACTTCTTGGAAACTGTCTTTTTTTTCTTTTTTCTTTTTCTTTTTATTTTTTTTTTTTTAATATTTACTTATTACATTTACAGTGGTCTGTCTGCAGGTCGGAAGAGGGCACCAGATTTCATTACAGATGGTTGTGAGCCATCATGTGGTTGCTGGGAATTGAACTCAGGTCCTCTGGAAGAACAGCCAGTGCTCTTAACCTCTGAGCCATCTCTCCAGCCCGAAACTGTCTTTTTTTCATCTCTGCCTTCATTTTGCTGTCTGAGTGCCTGGTTTATTGATATGTACTGTGTCCAGCTTTACATGGGTTCTGGGAATCCAAACTCAGATCCTCAAGCTTGCATTAGTAAATGGTTTACCCAGTGAGCCATGTCCCAACACTTCCCTAGCTTCCTCTGAGCCACTTAAAATAGAACTTTGAAGATTTAAATACTGGAGATACTTGATGTGTAAGCAAACTAGTCCTAAACTCTAGTTTTCTTGCAGTTTTGCTACATGCACACCAAATAGCTAATGATACTAAATCTGGATTGAATATATGTCCATTGCTTAAAATTTATTCCTTTCAAATAACTACTCTGTATTTTTCTTCATTGTGTATCTTGACATCATTGAAGTACTCTGAGAAACATTTGCTTTTCTTTGGTAATTTTTGTATGACTTCACAGCTCTCTGTGGGTGTGGGATAAAGTTGTAAATGCTTTTACTAAGTGTGCATTCACTTGCATTTCTTTCCAATGACTGTCGCCTTCTGTAATGTTGCCCAGTCATTAGTTTCTTGGAATCCTGTACAGGTCAAGATTTATTCTCTGCATGCCACAACTTGACTCACTTTGGATCTTGAATACTGTCAGACAATACATGATATGTTTTCTGTTGACTTCTTCATTGCTTCTAATGGATTTTATTAGAAAGCCCAGATTGCTGTTAACACTGCTGTTTAGATAATATTTCTGACCTTTTAGGCTTACATTCTAATATATAATATAAATGTTACATTCTTACAAAGTCTTTCAGCGCTTAAAGTAAAATGTCTCTTTAAATTTAAGAAGACACTTAATCTAGGGTAACAGCAGTCTCAGATGGTTAGAGCTAAGGGCTAAACAGATGTAATGGGGGATTTTAAAGAACAATTAAGTTACTTAGTTGCTATTGCTACAAACTTTTTGATGATGCTGGAGACAGAATACAGGACTTCATACATGCTAGATACTACACTATCCTAAATTACATCCCTAGCCCTGTTGTTATAAACTTAACCTGTAACTACTTTATGTAGGCTCTGACAGCTTTTATACTCTTTATAAAAGAACACCTTGGATTTGTTTAAGGTCCTTTAAACAGTGATGTACTTGATTTTTGCCTGCCAAAGGCTAGGTGGTTTTGAGGATTATGGCTTGCTGAGAATGATACAAAGGAAAATTATAAAGTAGGCTGCAGAACTGCCAGCTTCTGTTGGAAATATTCATAGCTTATGAAGGTCTATCATCTGTCGAGTCTCTGAACAGTTGATGGGTTCTTTCTATCTGTTTTAGGGCTATTCCTGAAATACATTTTTAAAAAGTATGTGTGTGTGCACGCGTTTTGTGGGGCAAGTATGTTGCAGGTACTGGGAAGGTGATGGATACCCTGGAGCTGATTTTTGTATGTGGTTGTGAGCTTCCTTATGTGCTGGGAACTGAATTCTGATCTTTTGGAAGAACAAGTTTGTAGTCCAACACTGAGCTGTCTCTTCAGCCTGTCAAACATTTTAAGTGCAGGAAAGAGATGAATGGTATCCTTTATTTTCTTTACCTTTTGTTTTAGATTCTCAGTTTTCAGTCAGTACTTGTCACCACAGTCAGCTTTTTCAAATCTATTTTTATTACAATGCTAGTTATAATTAAAACTTCCCTTTCAAATCTTCAAGTTAAAATTACCTCTTTAGAAAACCTCAATACAGGTCTGGATCTGGGGTTGTATAACCCATTGTTGAGTATTTGCCTAACATGGGGCGTTCAGTTTGATTATTAGTGTCACACACACATAAAAAGGGAAAAAGGAAAAGAGGAAAAAAATAGGAATTGCTATATGCTGATCTTAAATTGATAGTAATAGTTTCTAGAGAAGTCAGATATAACTTGTAAGAATCATTGAACTAGTTGTGATGCTTCATACCTGCAGCCCTAGCATTTATCTCAGTATAAAGCAAAAAGATCACAGGCACTTTTCTTCCCTCACTTTAAATTGAATGATTTTGCTAAGCCAGTGTTTTATAAGTGTCTGTATAGTCTTGCCTATTCATTAAATTTTTTGTTTGTTTTTCGAGACAGGGTTTCTCTGTGTAGCTATGGAGCCTGTCGTGGCACTTGCTCTGTATACAAGGCTGGCCTCAAACTCAGAGATCCACTTGCCTCTGCCTCCCCAGTGCTGGGATTAAAGGTGTGCTCCACCAGTGTACTTTGTATTTTGTATCTTAGAATGTAACGACTTCCATATAATAGTTGTAATTATTAAGTAGAATTCAACTGAAGTGTAGTTTACATAAAACCAGTTTGACTGATTTGAAGCATTTTATTACAAATTGGTTGGTATTTTGTTGGAAAGGAATAAGAATAAATTTATTTGTAAGGTGACCCATTGATTTACAAAGAAAGCATCATCTAAAAAGAAATCTCTGCTTTTCTTTTAAATGGCAAATACAGCATTTAATTTGAAGATCATGCCTAAAACCTTACTTAGTATTGCCAGATGTATGCTATATATAGACTTATTTTTTTTTTTTTTTTTGTCTTGACAGGAAATGCACAATTTTGAGGATGAGTTAACGTGTCCCATTTGTTACAGTATTTTTGAAGATCCTCGAGTACTGCCATGCTCTCATACATTTTGTAGAAATTGTTTGGAAAATGTTCTTCAGGCATCTGGAAACTTTTATATATGGAGACCTTTGCGAATTCCACTCAAGTGTCCGAACTGCAGAAGTATTATTGAAATTGCTTCAACTGGTATAGAATCCTTACCTGTAAATTTTGCATTAAGAGCAATTATTGAAAAGTACCAGCAAGAAGACCACCCAGATGTTGTCACCTGCCCCGAACATTACAGGCAGCCATTAAATGTTTATTGTCTACTAGATAAAAAATTAGTTTGTGGCCATTGTCTTACTATAGGCCAACATCATGGTCATCCTATAGATGACCTTCAAAGTGCCTATCTGAAAGAAAAGGATACACCTCAGAAATTGTTTAAACAGTTAACCGACACACACTGGACAGACATCACTCATCTTATTGAAAAGCTTGAAGAACAGAAATGTCATTCTGAGAAAATGGTTCAAGGTGATAAGGAGGTTGTTCTCCAGTATTTTAAGGAGCTTACTGATACAATAGAACAGAAGAAAAAAAATTTTTTGGCGGCTCTGTCTGATGTTGGCAAGCTGATTAATCAAGAATACACTCCACAGATTGAAAGAGTGAAGGAGATAAGAGAACAACAACTTGAGTTAATGACAGTGACTACATCTTTACAAGATGAGTCTCCACTTAAATTTCTAGAAAAAATTGATGATGTCCGCCAACGTGTGCAGATGTTGAAACGAAGACCACTTCCTGAGGTCCAGCCTGTTGAAATTTATCCTCGAGTAAGCAAAGTATTAAAGGAAGAGTGGAGCAGAACAGAAATTGGACATATTAAGAAAGCTGTCATTCCTGAAATGAGGATTTCTTCAAAAAGGATGTCATGTTCCTGGCCTGACAAGGATGAAGAAGAAATTGAGTTTTTTAAAATTTTAAATATTGCTATAGTTTCACTAATTTCAGTGATATTAATGTTGATACTCTTTTTCAACCAACACATAATCACTTTCTTAAATGAAATCACTTCAATATGTTTCTCCGAAGTCTCTTTGTCTGTTTACCAAAGTTTATCCAATAACTTATGTGACTTAAAAAATATGGTATGCTACACTTTATATTTGTTAAAGGAATTCATGTGGAAAATAGTTTCTCGTTGAAAATCCAAACCAACAGCTTAAGTGGGCTTATTCTGTATTGCAGAGGCTGACCATTGCTAGATGGAAGTCAGGGTAACATAACTTATATAGAAATATGATAAATCTTCCATGGTTGGATAGAAATGGTGTCAGAAATGATACATATCTGAAAGATAAATTAGAAAATTATTTTTGATTTGAATATTTTATTGGCTTGATAGTCAATGTTGTATTCTGCTTAACAATTTTCTTTAATGTTATATACTGCAGTAGTTAGCTTTGCAGTTCTTTGTGTATGTAGGTATTATATTAAAAAAAAAAAAAAAAGACGACAAGAGCCTTGAGATTCACATTCCTGTTTTGGCATGATTTGAAGCTTTTCAATGTGGAGGTGGAGGTGGCAAGTTTTAAAAGTCAGGCCAGGATTGCCTAAACATCTTTTTGGCCAAACGTAACTGTTAATAAATTTTAAGAGCATTCATTCCAAATAGAGCTACTGCTTTTGGATAAATCAAGTGTGTAGTACTTGTTTTGTATAAATAGATTGTATTTAGGAGCTGAGTTTAATGGCTAGAGAATCTGAGTCAAGGTCAGCCTGGAGATTAAGTGAGATGCCCAAAACCAACCAAATGAAATCTACTGGCTCTAGTACCAAAAAGTAATACAAGCACATATTTTGCGTTTGTGGTGCTTTAGTCTTGTTCTTAGATATTAGTAGATCTGGTATCACGAAAACTCTGTCTGAAAATGGTCTCTGTAGCCCAAGTGTTGTGAATAACAAGTATGAGCTGCAGTGTACATTGCTGGCTAGTCTTAAGAGCTTATGAAGGCAGAACCTTTGATTCCCTTAACAGGAATTAGTGTGTCTACAGTGTAACTTTGGTTCACTGCCATTGAAATATTGAACACAAACTCATTTTTATCCAGAAATCCCAAATAGGCTTTTCTTCAGTCATCATTCCTGGGGACCTATTTCAAAGGTCATATTATGGAATGCTATTAATCCTTTAGATTCACTATAAAGCTGTATTCAGAAGTCAAGGTTAAAACAATGTTGAGACGTTTATCACTAAGAATAAGTCATTAGGTCTATTTAACAGAATCAGATTTTCCCAGCAGTTACTGTACCTATATCCTGAGGCCTTTTGGAAGATGTAACAGGTGAAGGGAAACCATGTTCAGTTCTTCACAGATGCATGTCACACTGTTACTTTTAAGTGTAAATATTAGCAAGCAAAGAATGTTCACTAAGACATTGTTTAAGGGGTTCACAACTTTGTATAAATGGAGAAACATCAAAATAATGCAGTGCCATGTTAGGAGTTGGAAGAATTTGTTTTCTCAGTGCATATTGCTTAAAAAAGAGAAGACTAAAACTGATGTTTAACTGAAACCAATATAAACAGGCATATGCCTAGTGTTTATATAACCCTTTGTTTTCTGGTAAGAGTAACTATATATGCTCAGTTATATTTTTGCCAGGAGGTTGAGATTGTACAATTTAAAGTACACACTTTGGAAATTATGGGCTTTATGTGTAACAGTATATTTGAATAAATTTGGAATTTTACTGAATGGCTTAGGAATTTTCATACAGCTTCTGGATTATCTTTTTTGAAAAATTAGCTTTGAATTCCATCATACTAGTTATTAAAATGTAGTTTCATTCACTTTCACAATCATTTGTAGCTAATTTGTAGTGGCTTTATTTTGAATCATGTTCCATGGTAGGAGGCATGTCTAATTCCTTGGGATAAGCACCTAGAAATTTAATAAGGCAAATACTTTGAGATAGGAACTCACTAAGTAGACCAGGCCTCTGACAGGTGGTGATAACATTAAATTCAAATTTCTGAAAATGTCATATCTATATCTACTTGTATAATAATGTTTAGACAATACAGTGAGTATATTGGGGGTATTCTGACCTAATTAAATTTAGATATGCAAACAATTTCCTATGTTATTCCTGTGATTACAACCATCTCCCCACTTTTCACTGGAGTTTATGCATTAGTCTACATAGGTAGTCCATGATCTATATAATATATAAGGCCTGCCTGACTGAACACAAAACCAAAACACCTTCTCTGGTCTTGTTCCTTTCTAGACACCTGTCCCCCATGGAAAAGATGGCCTTGAATGGCATGGCTACGAATTAGAGAGACCTGGCTCTGCCCTTCCTGGGGGAAGAGGGTCAGTCCCAGTGGCCTAAACCTATCAGCTCAGCTATCACTCAGACCTAGGCATCTGGCCAATCTGATCTACTGGAACATGTGAAGGGAGGGATTGGTCCTAGAGAACAAAACCCGTTATCTCCATTATTCAAAGAACAGCAAAGAGGAATTTGTTTTAATTTTGAAAAGCAATGTGCGAGAGAAAAGACACCATGATGCAGAACTTGGGTGGTGGATTTTTTTATTGGGGGAAAGTGAATGGGAAAAGCAGGAGGACAGCCTCTGGGGGCAGGAGAGGCAGAGGGGTGGGTGGGTGGCAGGGCCCTTTTTGTTGTTATAGCCAAGGGTTTCTGTCAGAACCCCAAGGGCAGGCCATACTAACAATTTTGATAAGGGTTCAGTGATGGTATCAAGAGGCCTTGGACCAGAACAACTTGCTGCAATGTGCTGTTGGCCTGATTGGACAAAAGGGTAAACTGATACACTGCAGCTCTTGATGGATGAATTAAGACATGTTGGAAGGACAGAGGAACAAAATGGTTATTTTCGGTTTGTTTTTAATATTTTTGGGGGGCTGGGAGGTAAGCAGGAAGCAGGATGGGGTTGCATGATGTGAAATTCCCAAGGAATCGAAAGAATTATGTAAAAAAAACAAAAAACAAAAACCAGCCAGACTCATTTTATAACATAGAAATGGATACAATTGTTTCAGACATTATCACTAATAAAACAGAAACCATTTGTCACACAACTTAGAAAAATGTACTTTATACAATTTAATACTTATTTACAGATAAAAACCTAGACATACTAGATCAAGGTAAATTAAACTTGAAGAATCTTCAATATAAACAAGTTCAACAAAGTCCTTTAGATGCAATTTCTTTTGGGTTCACTGCAACACTTTTTGTAATATTGTATGTTTTGTAAATTCCAATAAGTCTATCTGAAATTTCAAACATATTATTCCGAAGAGAAATTATTATGAACTGGGCATTTTTTGTTTGCTCCTAAAAAGAAAAAGAGGAACAGTTAAGTCATAATAAATAGGCAAACATTACTCCACAAAGTTTGTGGGCAATAATTCTGACTTAGATGGTTAACATAATGACAGCAAGAATTCATGAAAGTGTTTGATATAGAAAGGAATTTGGGTAAAATGAAAATCCTGACAGCAAGATATAAAACACAAAATTTGCAGGTTTACTTACATATATGTAAAATGCCACAATAGACACATTTTTAAAATCCAGGGCTGCATCGATCTCATCCATGAAGTAGAGAGGAGTGGGTTTGTAGTGGTGCAGAGCAAACACTAAAGCCAATGAACTAAGGGTTTTCTCTCCTCCTGAAAGGTTAAAGATCTTCTTCCAACTTTTCTTAGGTGGTCGAACACTGAAATAAGAATGGCTAAAACTTAGACAATGCTTCCCATAGTAAATACCAACCACTTTTCCTTGCTAAATCTGTATGTGGCTTTTCACAAATATTTAGATTTTAGTTTTCTGAATAGGGAGGGTGATCTCAGTAGGTAATGACCTTTTATTTTTCTTAAAATTTGTGATCCTCCTGCCTAACCAGTGGAGTGCTGGGGATTACATATACTCCATGGCCTGGCTGTTGGCCTTTTTATATCTAGTTACTTTACAGAAATGTTATCGCAAGATGACATTAGGAGCATCTACCATAATTTTAAGATTTAAACAATAAGCTAGCTGCTTTTTTTTTTTTTAATTGCAAAATTGGTTAAGAGGAAAAAGTTTTTAGTGTCTGACAGCCATTTCACTGCTGCATAAGCCTGCCTACTTGGCCTGTGAGCTCTGTTTCTGCTCCCATTATTGCATCTGGCTTTGAAATTTTTTTTTTTTTTAAAGATGAACTAGACATTGTATAACAATTTACATACATTTTATACATTTTATTCTGCAAACTCACAAGTACATGAGTTAGTATTTATTACCAAATAAAAGAATATATAGTTCTAACCCTTATACCACACTCCCAAGTAGTACTAAGGATTTACAAAATATGTAGTATTAAAATCTTACAAACCTGAACATGATTCCTTCAGAAAAAGGATCCAAACTATCCACGAGCTCTAGTTCAGCATCTCCTCCCAATGTAAGCATCTGGTAGTTTTCCTTTAATTTATTTGTTATTACATAAAAACCTGCCATAAATTCATTCAGCCTTTGTTTTCGAAGATCTTCATATGCTTGTCTAAAACTATCTCTTTCAGAAGTAATTTTGTCCAATTCTGCTACTCTTTGCAGATATAACTCTTCCTGTGAAGATTGTAAAATGTTTTATACACAAATCTGAGAATTAGTATTCTCATCATGCAAAATCAAAGATCTTAATTTAGACCAGGCAAAATTCCTATTAGAAAAAAGTCACTCTTACTTTTTTTTTGTATTCTGCAATGGCGCCAAGATTTGGTTTCATTTCATGACACTGTGCTTCCAAAAGTGCAATTTGATTTGTTATAGAATCTGGATTCTTAATTGCCTCAAGATCCTCCGGGCTTAGAACTGATACCATCTCAACAGGCTTGTCTTCTATAGGATGCAATTTTATTTTTGAAATCTAAGGAGAATTGAGAAAATAAAAAGATGAATTTGTTCTTACTTGTGTATATGTGTGCATGCCATGTTTGTAGGTGACATAGACCCCAGAAGAGGGTCATTAGATCCTGTAAGAGCTTGGTGGTTGGTTTCAAGCCATTTGATGTCGACGTGGGGAACCAAGCTATGGATACTCTGCAAAAGCTGCAGGTGCATTGGGCTAGCTCTCCAGCTCCCAGCTTGTTAAGTCAAAACATGAAAAATGATAGCCACAAAAACAGTAGAGGAATGAAACATGACTACTTGGGAAATAAGCACTGGGTTGAGGAGGTACTTGCACTATTCTAATGATTACTAATTTTTAATGTATCTACTATATCCCTTATAAATGAAAATTATGGAATAAAGGATCACAATATACCTCCCAAAACAGAAAAAACACCCACTCCTACAAAACAAAAAGATTTAAAAAAATAAAAAAAATGGGTATGAGAGTTTTGTCTGCATGTATATGTACCACGTGTGCCTGGTGTCCTAGGAGGATGGGAGAGGGTGTTAGATTTCTTGGAACTGGAATTACAGATGGTTGTGATCTACCACGTGGTGTTAGGGATTGAACCTGGGTCTTCTACAAGAGCAGCAAGTGTTCTCAATCACAGAATTACCTTTCCTGCCCTCAGAAAAGCTCTAAAATTAATTAAATGGCAGTAATCTCACCTCTTTTTGCCAGTATTTTATCTTAGAATTATGTTCAGCAATCTGGCCATCTATTTGCTCAAGTTTCAACTTAATACTAAGTGCATCTTTCTGAAGAGCATGTTCATTTTCTTGAATAACTTTTAGTTCCTGAAGTAGATTACGATGTTCTTTCTGGATTTCTGGCAGGGACTCCTAAAAATCAAGAACAATAGTGACAAATACCATCTCCACAATTGAAATAGATAGGTATCTTTACATTACATACATTGTTAGCAACTTCATTTCTCACTTTAATAAAAACTTTGGTGTACAGAAAGTTCTCATATTTTGTTATACACTTTAGTTCATAGTTAGGAAAATTTTAACTCACACTAACAGTTTTGTTGCTTCAAATGTCATCTGTTTTGCAACATAGAAACAAATCTTACCTCTGCAGTATTTGTAGTTTTTATGACCTCTTCTGCTTTGTCTTCAATATTTTTTAGTTCTGCTCTTAAATCATTTGTTTCTTTCTCAGTGTCTTTTATTTCTTTTTCTGTACGCAATACAGAATCTTGTGCCTTTTTAAGATTCCTAAAGAAGCAAACAATTTATGATATTTAATGTGGTTTTAAAATTTGTGATTTACCAAATCATCCTTAGTTGTATGTTTTACTAAATGAAAATTTCCATTAAGCCTCCTCATGTAAGCATCTGGTAGACATTGTTGCAGTTACCTATTAGATTATAAAACTCTTTTGACATCCAACAAGATTTTTTTCTGAAACCTCTCTCTTGGAACTCACTTGCCTTTTGGGTTCTGGTGTTTTGGGATTACAGGCATGTGCCATCATGCCCAGTTCAGTGAGTTGTTTCTTTTTATAAAACTATCTCAAGCATACTTTCTGCTTCTAACAAATGATTTCCTAGTTTTTTACTTTTAGGCAAATAGAGCAACAGGTAATCGATATATAAATAAAAAAAATGATTATAAAAGATTTGATCTAACTTTTTTTCTTACCACTTCCTGTTTCTAGTACCTACTTCTGGTATATCTACTTTTCTATGCTAGAGAAACAAGACTAATGTCTATGCCCTGAACAACTGGGTTATGATACTCCAACTTTTCTAAGACATACCCTGTTTACCAGTTTGTTGTTTCTTTTTAAATTAGTCAAATGATAAATTTTCATTTTAAGCTTTTTCCTTCTCAAAGAATTGCTGGATAATGAGAGTGAAATTTAATAACTAACACCCAA